CCCACGTTTTCGTCCCTTGAAAGAGAAAATCACATGAAACTTTGAATTTCTCATGAAGTAAGACTTTCAGCATAAAAATTTAAACGTCGTATTTCAAGAGCATCTTCCTATCACCGATGGGTGAAATTGTAAATCTCTCTCGGTAACCGATCGATTCCGCATGAATAAATAACTTCTGTGGTTCGGGGATTTGATATTATTTTGAAACCCTCCTTCCTCGCAGTGTCCAGGAAAAGTTATCAATTCTGTTCTTCTAAATTGACATCGAACGAATTTCGTAATACGCAGCTGTACCATATTTAATGGAAATAGTTATCGTGCACTTTCGGCTCAAGGGGAATACTGAGGATGCAAAAAATGGAATTCCTTTTTCACGGCATGGAACAATTCAGCTGGTTTCATCTCCCAGTTTAAATATGAAACATCAAACTAATAGTTTTTTTTTAAATGTATTTCGTGACTGGAAAGTTGGTACTAAAGCTTCTGGATATGGAAGGACTTTTGAGTTTTGGAAACGTACAGTAAATTATCATGCTTCGTCCACCCAGTTCACTTAAATATTGGCCTATGGAGAAAGAACTTTTCCGGTATGTCGCTCATATTCACCATCATCAATCGAAATCACTATTTTTGTTTACCTGGATACACTTACTAAATTAAAATAGAAAAGTGCAAGAGGTTAAAGGCACTCATAGGCCAAAATATTGCTTTTCCTGAAGTATTTGTAACATCTTGGTTATTTGCTGACGGCAATGCATGAGAGTGTGAAAATATTCCAGCCATCATACTGTACAGTATAACGAATCCATATGCACCAGAATAAGCGAGGAGTGTCCCATAAATAAGTGAAACGAACTCATGAAGTCGGAAGGGATTCTAATCGAAAAACATTTTGCGCTCTTGACGTACATAAAAATGTCATTGTTTTCCAGCGAAAACCGAAGGAGACCAAATCAAATAATACGTAGGGATAGCCAAACATGTCTGTATGCTCCGATGAAAGTAGAACCAAAGCAATTCATCAGACTCATGCCTATTAGTGAACCTAGTTATTCGAGTAATTACCGATTTCATTAATCAAACTACCTCCGAAGGGGCTTCGAAAATGACTGAACCGCATATTTGAAATAAAATCAAATTTACCTTTGGAGCGTGGTTCAGAACCAAGAGCTCCCTCACTGTTACCCCTCAGAAGGGGTAGTACCTGTAGGTGTGCTTAGAGTAGCCCCTCTTTCCCGACTTGTCCTTACTTTTCCCCCTGTTCACAGTCTCCCTTTGCTTCGGCAAGTAGGTGCAAGGCAGAGATTGTCACATATTCGCACGGATTGGATAATAATAACGATCAGTGAAGCTTGTTTGAGTTTTTATAGCTTTCGGTCCTCTATTTTCAAGTAACTGTACTGAAGTACGAGTGTAACACGTTGTAATAAATAATTTGAGTATACTCTCTTTTGACTTGTAAAAACGACTATGGCTCTTATTATCAGCTCGATCAGTCAGTTGGAACGTGATATGTCGTTATCCGGTCTCCTTTGAGCAAAAATTTTCAAATGCCAATGCATCTGAGTGTCAGAGTCTGCATTGCTACAAAGTCTTTCCAAGATTAGTTCTTACTCATGACATCATCCTATCAGGTTCCATGCCATCAATCTCCTCTTTTGTTCTCGGGAAATTTTGCACTGAAATGAGAAGGTCTCATGTTAAGAAGTCATTTTAAGGATTGGATTTCCGCTATATGCAACTTTTCTAGGTGCCGGGGATGTTTCGAAGTTGGGCATAGGAAAAGTTGCTATCATTTCAAATCGATCGTTCTACCAATTCTTGAAGAGTCTTGCAATGTTTACTATTGTTTTAACAGGATCTACTCTTTCATCCTAGCGGAAGTAAGATATGAAATGACTCAAAAATATCGAAAGCCAGGAGATAAAAGTTCATTGACATGACTTCATGCTCACATTGTGCAACATTATTTATTAAACTCATATGAGAGAAAACTGAACATTTTTGCTGATACCGAGAATAATAGCGCTCGATCAGTCAGTTGGAACGTGATATGTCGTTATCCGGTCTCCTTTGAGCAAAAATTTTCAAATGCCAACGCATCTGAGTGTCAGAGTCTGCATTGCTACAAAGTCTTTCCAAGATTAGTTCTTACTCATGACATCATCCTATCGGGTTCCATGCCATCAATCTCCTCTTTTGTTCTCGGGAAATTTGGCATTGAAATGAGAAGGTCTCATGTTAAGAAGTCATTTTAAGGATTGGATTTCCGCTATATGCAACTTTTCTAGGTGCCGGGGATGTTTCGAAGCTGGGCATAGGAAAAGTTGCTATCATTTCAAATCGATCGTTCTACCAATTCTTGAAGAGTCTTGCAATGTTTACTATTGTTTTAACAGGATCTACTCTTTCATCCTAGCGGAAGTAAGATATGAAATGACATCCAGGTGCATTTGCATATTTTCCATCGTCAACTTCTTTTGGGGAGCAAGTTTTTGCTATGTGCGGAATTGATAATGAATTTAATGAGTGAGGTAATGCTTAATCCGTTGCATTCCACCACAACGTAATGAAATGTTTATGCAATTATACCTCATTATAACCAATTTTTGCAGGAAACTGAGCACATTTTATTATCACATTATATTGAAATGCACTAGCTTGCATTACATCACAAAATATTTAGTTGTATTCCATGGTCTAATTATCCATTCAATGACGTTCACGTTCAGGACTTACAAGTTGGAGTAATCGTATCAAAATTCAGCAATCATCAAATTACTCTATCGACAGCTTTCTACAACTTCACCTTTGCTTGTAACGCTGATAAGATGACTAAGCATACCTCTATTTGAGGGTTTTCGGGGCGTTCGGGCATGCTGAACCTGATCTTCATGGAGACGACTTCCGCCCTGACCTCGTCGATGTATCGCTTCCTCTCCTGCAGCACCTTCTCGTCAAGTTTCAAAGACTTTGCATTCCTTTTGCCCATTTCTGACAATGCCAGGGAATACCATGGAAAGGAATTTCATAACAAAATATTGGCATTTTCAGGCTGTGGGAAAGCATAGCTTATCCACCTATCTAGTCTGAAGCGCAGATGGGACAAAAATAAATAAAACTTCCAGTTCATGTTAGATTATGCTCATCTTTTAAAAATGAATTGGAGCCATACCGTATGAGTCTTCCAGGTCTTCGACGTCCCACTCGACGGCGCGGATAATTTTTTCAAAGCCATTTTTCGCCCATGACATCTCTCCTTTTTTAACCAAATTTGAAGGTTTTGTCTCCAAGTCCAGGAGTTTGTGGTACATGTCCCGGGCATTATGCAGTGCCTTATCCAACTCCCTAAAGAAAAGTGAGATTCCCTAATTGATGTCCAAAGTAAGGATTAAGAGTTGAGAATTAATTAAATCTGTCAATTCACGCGTTTTCCCTTAGTAAAAAAAAGTTTGTCTATGTGCGAAATTCGGCGCGTGCTTTCCATGTGCGCTTGTGCGTCTCACGTGCGTACATGACAGTTTTTTATGTCATGGCCATATCAAGATCGTGCGATCGAATCATAGAGAGCGCGGCGACAGGAACGTAATTTTTTTCCTATAAGGAACGATGAAAGGATACTGGTATTTTTTGTGCGTACCCGCCAATACCTCGACATTGAATCTTTTTGTTCAAAAGAGCATTGTTGAAAATCACGAGGGACTCACCCGCGCCCCAGGGGGAAAGGATCGAGCGTGTTGCTGACAGACATCCTCTCTTGATCGCTTTAGTCCCACTGCGCAACGATCGGTGAGGTCATTCATGGCATGCATGCGATGCTGAATCACTTGAGAGATAAGCTCCAAAACCTTATCAGCCTCGACATTGTATCCTGGCGGTTCCGCTGTGAAAACGGGAATGAACGACTTTTTCGATTACGGAAACTTATCTCTTTTGCAAGAGGTTGCCACAGTTGCCAAATTTTTCTCAGAATATTTCTCTCGAGTATCACTCGCATTCTAATGCTGGTGAGGTGTTTGGTGGTACTCTAAATAAAAAAACGCATTCTTTTGAATGAGGGACTTTCAATACGACTTTTCCCCAAGAAAAAAAATGTCTATGACTGTGTTGCAGGGGATAATGGGTATAGTGGGAGCTGAAAGGACCAACTGATTTGTTGAGGAAAAGCAAATTAGTTGAAAATCCACCATTATTTATTGTTTTACGATTTCGCATCTCTTTCTGCATGGCATTTACGTGATGGGCATTTAACACCGCACAACTGAGTGACATTTTAACCGTTTCATCAAGTTGATGCATGGTTGCCACTGGCGGTAAGTTTCTGTAGTGAGTATTCGACATGATCTAATTTTCGATGGGGGGAAAAAAGGTTTACTGTCTCAATAACTCAAATGTTGAGCAGAACAACTTAAATTTGCATTGATTATAGCCGCGGTTACGCTGGGTTCCTTAAGAACTTAGTCGACAATCCAAAAATAAAGTCAGAATTCATCACATTGAAGGGGTAAGTAGTCGTGTCAACGAGGCCTATGTTGCCACGACTGAAAGTTGAAATGGACCATTCGGTATTATGCACAAACGGCTACCCAATCAAAGGAACTTTACCGAAAATGCAAATGAATGAAATAATATTACCTGAGAGAGTACCAGAATGTCAAAAATTACACTCAATGCGAGAGAGGACTTGCCTAATGAAGCAAATAAACTTACTAATTATTTGAAATGAAGAAGTCATAAAATAACAAAGGTCGTTCACTTTTACATTTTGTTTCAAGGGCGATCCTTTACATCTAACGTATTGCTCTAATGTTTAGTACCATAGTATACGATTGCACGTGTGCCAGCTACCTTGGGATTGCAGTTCGGTAGTATATTCCTTAGGCGTTGGAAAGCGACAAAAATAGGTATGAATGGATATTTCAAACGCTTTCATCTTTTGTTTGGAATCCGCTTCGCTGGGGTTTAAACTTTTTCTTTTTTTGACAGAAGGACCTCTAGAAAAACGAAAACAATATAGCCACAGAATAATGAGTATTATATATTCATTTTGGTGCGTATTGTTCCAAGAAAGAAGTTCCGCCTTGGCAAATAGAAGTATTTTTATTAGCATACATATATATACAGTATATATGATTACATTTCCCTCATTTTCATGTGTTCGAGGGTGTAAACGTAATCGGGATTTTCCAGATTGAGATGTTGTATGGAAATGCGAGTGTTCAGATGAGGAATATGATGGTGACGGCAATGACGCAAACCCCGGAGAAGATTCCGATGATTGTCCACGTTCTCCTCCCTTCAAGGAGAAAGACACAAAATTACTCTCAAATTTTATACGAAGGGGAGTCGATAAATAAGGTAATTTCAGTATGGCTTCAAAACAGTTGATTCCAGAAACCTGAACACACTATTTTTATGATATTACCTTTTACTTTAACGCATTTACTGCTGCGAATGAGATTTCTGATTCCATCAGAGAAAAATTTTTTTTTTGGTAAAGAGCGTAGTCAATTATACACCGCATTTCAACGTCTGTATCATCCCTGAAATTGCGCCCCCGAAGTGCAGTGTAAAATGGCGACCATTTCTGAATAGTTCAAACCATGTCTACACAATTTTCGATGAAAAGCAACTGTCTTCATTTTGCGCACACATTCAACAATTAGTTTTACTTGGTTTACCTCTTTGTGAGAGTGAAAACCGAATCACACTTCGCTGTTCAGCAGGGGTGCAATCTGAAAGTGGCGCCGCCATTTTAAAAACTGTCAGCGACAATGTTGCCAACTTTATATTGATGAAACTATGAGTACTACATGTTAAGAAATGCAGTAATGAGGGTTAGTGGTAATGAGTACATAATGGGTACATAATGTTCTTGAACAACTTAAATTCACCTTGGTATTTGAAAGATGCCTTGGTGCAAAACAGGAATTATTAGTATATCAGAAGTAACCATATTTCTGTAACACATGGAAGGAAGTGTTACATTAATTGTTACATTGACCTGTAACACCTGATGGTGTTACATTAACCGAGTTCTCATGAATGAAGAATTGATTCATTCACTCTGAACCCTGCGACAATTACATGACCTCCTATGCCAATAGCCAAAATCTCCACGGTTGCAAGTCTTAATCCTATAATAATTCTGTCACAATTCCATACTGTTCCCGAAGAACATACCAGGATAAGAAAAACTGGTATATACTCTTTGGAGATCGATAAGACAATATTTTGCATTTTGCAACCCTACATATATGTAAATGTAAGGTATTCTTGATCACATTCGAATTTGGCTACAGAATACGGAAGGAGGAGCTACAGAGGAGCTACAGAATACGGAAAACCCCATAGTTTGGACTTTCAATTAGCCACAATCTCAATACGTTATTAATGTCATAACGCAATGAGGTGCTTTTACTGTTAATTGAGTTATTCTGACCGTGGAGGGTATTTTTTTCTTCAAGTGTTTCTAAAATACCTTCCGAAATCCTTTTGAGATTGCGATAGTTACTTCCTTAAGTTTTCTCTTACTCAGGCAATAGGGAGAATACCGCCTTTAAGTTCTCAGAAAATTAAAGCTCCTGGTTGAGATGGTGATTCGTTTATCCGGTTACTTTAAAATACCGTTTTTGAAAGCTGAAAAATGTCTCTTAGAGGCATGTCTGCATGCAAAGCCTAACTTGCATTCATCTCTACTCTAGTAATATTTGAGATAGGTTCATGACACTCGTACGTTTAACTATCTTCTAATCGTCACAAGTCGACTTCCTTCATCTTGGGTACTTAGCGAAGGCAAGTCGAGAGCAGGAAAGTGTATATATTTCACTAGAATAGAAAAATTTCATGACAAAAACCAGGACATACGAAGGAATCATTGAATCAAAGAGAAACTACAAATACGGAAGAATAACGACAATATGGAGCATTGGTCGAATCTTTCTAACTATTAGAAACTTATATGTACTAATTTTTTTTTCAAATGATGAAACAAAAGGTTTTTCAGGCCATTTTACCTGACAAAAATGAGCTAGGTGAGTCAGGAGAAGTTTGGCTAGAGTTTGGGGCAGTCCATAAGTCAACCTCATCATGGTCCATTGGTACATGATTCTCCTTGCTCTGATACATTCCCACATTGTCTCTGAGTCCGCTGCTGAGAAGGGGCTGAAGTGGAACGAAAAGAACAATATGAATCAAGGCATCAAATTTTGTCCGTTAATTCACATATGCGACATATTGAAATCACTTTTCAATTTCCCAGGAGTCCTCCAATGAACAACAAATCTGAATCTCTCCACAGTATCTTGCACGATATAACATTATAAAATGACCCGTTTTAAAATTACTGTGCTATATCATTTTAAATTTTATTACCTGCCACTACACTGTATATTTAATCACGTAAACTTTAATTACCTTGAATAGCATCACTTTTTATTTCCTAACTTAGTTATATGATTACCTGCAAGATTAAGGAATGGCAGCATTACCTATTTTGAAGGCCTGACTGATCAATGGTTTTAGTTCCTTGTTTGTCGGAATTTGGATGAGATGATTGTGCATACCAGCCGAATGGAGTTGTCGGAGCGTTTGGGTAGATTGAACCTGTCCTTCATGGAGGCGATTTCGGCCTTGATCTCGTCGACGTATTGCTTTCGGTTCTGCAGCGTCTTTTCGTCCAGATGCAGCATCTTAGCATTCCTCTTGCTCATTTCTGGCAGTGTGGAAAAATAGGAAATGAAAACATTTCTTCAAATGGGTTAGGGTAAGGAAGTCTTCGAAGGTCTCCATTTTCTTTCAGGATGTGATTCCGGAGGGAAATGCCTACCGTATGATGTCTCGAGGTCTTCGAGGTCCCACTCGACAGTGCGCAATATGTTTTGCAAGCGGTTCTTCGTCCATGTGATGTCTCGTTTCTGGATCAAGCTTGAAGGCTTTGTTTCCAAATCCAGGAGTTGGTGGTACCAGTCGCGGGCATTCTGTATAGCCTTGTCTAGCTCTCTAAAGGGAAAGAAGAGACGGGATTTCCCATCTGGAAAACCTTTTCCATCATTGAATAGGCAGAAGAGTCGATAATTAATTTAGTTATGTTAGACTGTGGTCTGAAGTAAAATAGCAAAATCTGAATTTGTGATCATGAATTTGTGATCAGGGATTCATGAGGTATTTTTCACAATAGGCGTGACCTGCATTTTCTGGCTTCAAAGATGGATTGAAATAGACTGTTCATACCACATTTCAAGATCGTCAAAAGTTAGGCCTAACACATATGACCTGTATTTGCGGCTTGATAGCGAAATGTATAACGTTTTCCTGAAAATTGTCGGATTGACTTCTGCGTAGCTTCATGATAATTTCAAACGAATAGAGAACGAAAGGTTGAACAGTAGGCAGCAGGTGAAAACTGAACCAGCTTCCAGCTTCTGGGGAATGAGCAGTGGTGGAAGAACTCCTCGTCCACCTTCTGCAGTCAAGGAAATAGTGATGGAAAATACGGAAAAAATCATACTGCAGACGATGAAATTTGTGGGGACAGACAAGCAAAATCGTGCAGTCCTCCCAACACAATGCACAATGTTCGTGTGATTGCGTAAAGCTCTCTGATTAAAGAACACCGAAACGCAGTCAGTAAATATTAAGGACTGGGTTTTGCAAAATTCAGCGAGTGCTTTGCCTTTTGAATTTTCCTAGACTACTTGTCGGTGCAAACAATTTTGATTCATGAAGAAAATCAAGTGTGTGCCATACATGGTTCTCCTATGGGTATCTACGGATTGTGCCTTGTAATCATAAACGACGTGACTACAGAGAGGCGATAGCATGGCATTATATAGCATGGACATGTAAAATCTGTGGGAATTAGTAGCGAATTTCTTGTTTTGTCTCTTTCTTTTCCTTAATGATTACTGTAGGGAAAAGTATTGGAGGGACTCACAGACGCCCGATGGAAAAAGGATCCGATGTGTTGCCGAAGGACATTTTTGCATGTATCAATGCAGGTGTTTCGCTGGCTTCGGGATACACGAGATAACTGAGGGAACTCAGGTATCATGAATCACACTAGAGATAAGTCAGCTTATCTGTTTCTCTGCGTATCCAAGGAGAGGAGAAATAGATCCGCTTGGCAAAATCCTCTTGGTCAACTACTTCAGTCGAAGGAACAAATAAATATAATACCTCTTCACTGTAGTAGATGCCACTGTTTAAAACATATTTTTATTCCTGACATTTCCCTCCAAACTGTCAGAGCTTTGACCGAAACTCATGTTTATCATATTCTGCTCAAAATTTTATTCGGTGCATTGAGGAGGCTTCTACGCTTGCAATAATAATTACGATTTTAATTTATACCTTAACCTTTATCCTTTAATGGGGGATAAAATAGAGGGGTTTGAAGCCGCAACCCCAAGGTGGCAGTCAGGTCTTTGAGACTCTCCGCAATTAAGGTGGAACCACCTATGTCGTATTGTATCCGAAAGAGATATTTCACATAGAGATAAATCGGGATGTAGAGCATCAAGCAGTCTATGTTGTGTGCCAGAGAGCTCTTTCTATCACATGAATCATACAGAACATAAGAAAGTGGATCTTATCTGGAAGAATGGCGTTTGAGTTTGGTCAGGCACCTGTGCTTGTTCTTGGGAACAACATGATTAGGAATCATTTAAGAAACACATTCAACTTATTTGAAATGATATTTTATTCCGTCATTGGGTCAACTGATGGAATGCAGCAGTGAGTTTGGACATAGTCGCGTTCAGTTCTGATCGCCTTCATTTCAGTCAAACCTTCCTTTCGCATCCGACTCGCTCCTAATGGAATATCTCGGCTTGGAGGCTTGTAAGGAGCATTTAATTATTGCGCATTGCAAACCACGTAAGCAGGCGGAGTCAAAGAGGAACCTCACAAATATCACTTCTTTCATGGGAAGTATGCGTCGACTCTACATCTCTTCTTATGACGTCAAGCTAAGTCTTGCTTACTTCATCCAATACTCTTGGAATGAGTCAACATACAGTATACTGTAGATGGCATGTACACACACCAGAAGACATTGCGACTGTAAATTTGCGCTTCTTCGTCCAGTTTCACGGAATTCCGTTATCGGTTTGGATACAGTGGCCATGATCTACTTGAGACGTGTTCGAGTCCTTCCAGTGCCTGACGAATACGAAGAAGATCAGAAAAAAGACGAAGACATGGACAGCGGCAGATCCAAAGGGTAGGGAACTACCCCTCAATTGTTTTAGGCAGTCCCCACCTCCTCCCTCGCCAGTCTCTCCTGAGATTCAGCCCCCCTCCTCGAATATTTGCGTGGTTGGACATGGATATGTCATGTGACAAGAATATGCCTCCTGCTTCATTACCACCTAAGGAAGCCATTTCTTGTGGTGCTGTTCACTTACAGGGTACTTGGAAAAGTAAGAACCACAGTAATGGAAAAGTGAGAAGCAATGTTTACGAGTTGTTGAGAGAGTGGAACAACGAGTGCTGAGGATGCGGTGCTTTTGGGCCGAGAATACTTGGCGTTAGAACGCTTTCGCACCCGTTCGTAAACATTACTTCTTGCAATACTGCAAATCCATATCTGCAAACTATCAAGAGTCTACAATATATTTACTTTATTATCGGTGCCTTCGGTGTCCGAAAAGCAAAATCACAGAACGCAAATCTTCCTTGGTCCAATTAAGACCCTTAACTCCCACTTTTCATTACTGCACGGGGTCACACGAAGTGGCAGCAATGATGAATACCACAATATTTTGGTGCTGACATTCTAGCAAGCAGTAATATGTGTAAATTACATGGCTAGTTATACTTCCTATGGTACAATCGTAGTTCTCCTGTTTCCCTCTGACTCACTTTCGTAGTTTCCAAGCCAAAACTATAACGAGACATGTGCGGTTTCGCTGCTTTAAACCAACAGTCACTAGGTTACCTTGCCATGCACTTATTGCTCTGTCCCTGGATAATGCCAATAACATTATCCGATCCGATATGCCAAATGAAAGAAGAGTAAACATATTTACAGGTATTTTAGAGAATATCGATCATTTCATGCCTTTTAAATTTTTCTGTCAGCACTTCACCACCGTTAGAGCAGGCACATACCATTCACTACCAGGTAATAGCAATTAGAGAATCATCCTTGTCTCTGAACCCTCCATCACATGACACCAAGGGAGTGATAAAAGAAATTAACGAAGCAGCATGCCTTTCATTCTCGATTAGTGGACTCTGTATTGCACTCTGTTGTAATACGAAGTTCTTCGTTGACTTAGGTGGTAGTAGAGACCAAGGGATTGTGGGGATGCTGACTGGAATGCATAAATCTGGGCATGGTGTATAGAAAAGGAAAACATCAGATGTAACGAAGGCACACATGTTTAGTATTCGAGATGAAAGAGGAACATGGAACATGAATATCGAAGATATTTTTTTTATTCGAGTCCTAAGTGTCCCCGAATGCTACTCAGTTCTACGCACCTAGCTCTTGTCAATATCGCCCAATGACGGTGTATACTAGACATACGGGTGTTATTTACGCTTAAGAGTGCATGTCAGGCAAGAACAACTCTTGAGGATAACATAGCGGGTCGAATATACCTGTGTATGTGAATCCTGCGTTGTAAAGCACCATTGCTGGAATGCTTTTCGTTGGTCCACACATTCTGCATCGACTGATTATCGTGAGATGCCTCTGGCTTCATATCGGGAAGCACAGCTGACGCATTCCTCTCAAGATCTTGGTGTTATGAGGCGTAGTAGCTTGTACTGTATTAACGCGCCGCTTGTCCTTTTGGGTACTTTCTCCAGATGCTTCCTTTTTATTTTTCTCCACCCAGAAGGTCAACAACGACACTAAAATGTTTGTTCTATGTTTTCTTAGCTTCACACGTGAAGTGAAAAACCATTTCGTTCTTGTGTATTCTATGCTAAGGCGGGTTCACGATGACATGAAAATTCCACGTCAATTATAAGAGGGTGATGTGACTGATTTCCATGCGACGGTGAGTTCAGTTTGATAAGAAGTCAGGTATTCGAAATGCTTTCAGATGAGAACAATTTCAGGGTGCTGGATGAGAAAGAACATGATATCCCTGAAGACTGTGAGAGGATCTTCACCTTCCTGAAGGAGCAAGGAATGGGGAAGCATGTTCTGCTTGACGAAGTCCCTTACATTGGGAGTGACAGGCAAACTGGATGAGAGGCGCCTGTGCAAGCATTGGGAACGGATATCCAGTTTCAAGGAGTGTGTGAAGTCTTACGTTCGCATTCCGCCCCAATGATGCCACTTACACAAAGGACATCAATCCTCAAAGCATCAGGATCGCAAACGTAGGCATCAACATTCTCTATGTGGTAAAGAGAAGCACTCTTCTGACGTCGAACTTATTCCTGGCTCTTGGAGAGTATTCCCGTCGTATTTTCATGAGTTAAGAACCCACCCTACGAGAAATGTAATTTGGCTGCCCAGAGAACGAATTGTTGCCCGCCTTGTTCCCCATCCCGTCATTTTCCACCATCCACGATTTTTGCAAGTACAAATTGACTTGCGAGGCCGTGAGAGCCTCCAAGGCGATAGTCACCATCCTCGCACCATCCGATGCACAGGCAATAACTTATTCATCATCCAAAGGCTTCCTGATTTGTACAGGCGGTATAATAAAATATCCGCAATAATGAAAATTCTTCCAGGCCACAATTCTTAATCTCTGTATGGGTTCTATACAGAGACTATACAGATGGTCCTAGTAAGGATTAAAGGGCATGCCATTTTTGCTAGCGACTCTGCTAGCTCTGCTGAGACCTCCTGCATTCGATGACGCCATTTTAGGGCCAAACTGCTAGGCGTTATCGTAGTTCGCTAGGTTCCGCTGGCAGCTGCTTGCCCAATAGTAACGTTATTCCATGGCGTGGTCGTGCCTAGCCATTGCGCCTTTTCTTCAGCAGTTGCTAGCTGCTGGAGAAAAAGACATGCCCATGGAATTTAACTCAGAAGTGTGTGAAAATAATGAAAAACAAACATTCACGAAAACCTTCGTTGCGGGTACTCAATCCAAAGTCCAAAATAGAAACTCCATTCCCCCTTGTCCGGACGGGTGGCAAAATGGAAAAGGATATGGAGCGATGCGTAATATTCACAACCAGGGAATTCTAGTAGCCACTTAAAGTTGCAATAAGTAGATTACTTCTCGTGCTACCTCTTCGGGAAAGCATGACACGGTATCATGTTTTCTTCAGGAGGGTACAACATGTTTGCCAACGGACACGGGAGACAATCTCATATTAGGTCACTAAACACAATTTACCTTAGTTGCTTCTTCTCAGAGTCATTATCATGGCTATTTGCTCTCTCTGCACATAATCCAATACAGTTTCAGTCTTCTCTTCATTCATTTTTATCGTGCCCAATCTTGCTAGCGTGCATCGTATTCTCCATTCTTAGTGTATGCCATTTCCCACTGGCCAGTACTAGTGACAATTTGCAATGCAAGTGGGTCAACAGACACAACCAAGAACATTGGTTTTAGGGGGACCTCTTAACCTGTTCGAGCCCCACAGCCCTTGGTGAAATAGACCTGCTTCCGCTTTTTAGTTGTAAATGAATGTTTCATCCCAGAAACTTGAAAACGCCAAAGGTGATCATGTTACCTTGAACATAATCAGAACGATGCTGACGGGGCAGTTCTAAAACTTGGAATGAATCAAGAATGCTGAATCATATATTATGGAATATTATGGAACGAATGCTAAACGTTAATGGGAATTAAATAATTTCCTTCACTTTGATCTCTGGCCAATCTTGTCCCAATTTATTCTTTTTTCATTTCAATTACATCTTCATCTGAATTTTTTTTAATGGATGAAGAGAACCATGCACATTGACGACATACTTGACATGGACATTTATTCCCCAAAATATAGTGAGCTAACTCTAAACGACCGGATGGCTGAAGACACCCACTGTCAGGTTTCCAATAAGGGGCAGTTATCTTTTATCCAATTTTTCATTTGTCAAGTTAGTTTCTTCTTGCATTTCTTCTGATT